ATAAATAAATAAATAAAATGGGGATCAAACTCCCAACCTCTGGCTTCACAACCAAACACTTAAAACAGAAACAAGCAGAGTGTGGGGAGGGTGAAGGTTCAGGTAGACCACAGATAAGGTGTGCTTGCTTATCTTTGTTCACACTTTAAAAAAATGTTTTCACGAGGTTTCACCTCCTCCAGTCCCACTCTGAAGCCTCTACGAGTAGACATGGTCTAGAGGGGCGGGATCTTTGTTCACACTTATAAAAAAAAATGTTTTCACAAGGTTTTGCCTCCTCTGATCCCGCTCTGAAGCCTCTACGTGATGCTAGAATTTTGCCCGGTATTATGAAAATAGAACGGGCAGATTGTGATGAGCTGGGTTTTTCAAAAGTGTGTTTACGCAAATCGATGAACCGATAAATTTATAGCAAGGGTAGACTTTAGGCTGATAGTAGCTTTTGTTGGTCCATGTCATCAAGTTGCTTCTGTCTTAATTATGACCCTAATAGGAGTTTCTGGATATATAGGATCGTCAAGGAGCGGTTGATCATGACCATCTTCTCCAACGGGTTTCTACGGCTAAGCAGGGATTTAAAACCTAGATTTCCTGGGTCTGATAGTCTGTTACATCACCCTGGTTTTCTTGCAGGACTAACCTACAGCTTTTAAAAAGCAGAATGAACGCTGAACGCCATCTGTTGAGCGCCAAGGGCAATATGGTGGTGGGGGAAACCCATAAGAGTTCAGGGTGCTGTTGTTTTCTGAGCGTATGCTCATATCTCAAGAATTTATGACTTGTACAAAGTCCAGAAAAAAAGTCTTTCCAATAAAACTTCCCATGTGGCTTATTCCCGCATATGGGTTTTCCCCCCCTCAACAATTTTAATTTAGGGCCTGCATAAAGAGAGGGAAGAATTACAGATGTTGTAGCAGCTGGGTTCTGATTTCATTTGAATGGTCTTGTATATGTTTTTTAACGCGGGATGAGTACGTTTTCTAACAGAATGCCCTCTGTATGCAAATCTGAGAGACCGATACCTTAACAAGAACAACTCCCCATTATGTACAGTTTTATTTCTGTTCGCTGGCACAGGCGACTATATCTCTTATAGGGCCACTTATAGAATCGAGCAGGAATACTTTGAATAAATAGAATATTGTGTTATACAGCTGGGCGTCATAGCATCTGCACCAACTACTGCTACAGTCTCCTAGGGAATCATGGCAGTCTTATCTTCTGCTCTACCCTTGGACTCTGTCTTATTAGTCACTGATAAAGGCAACCCTTAGAGCCTCCCTGTGCAAGAGCAGTCTATCTCTGACAGGCAGACGAATGATGGCAGACTACAGGGAAGAGGCTGTCGCCTTCGTGCCCTGCTTGGCTTCTTTCCTGGGGGCCCCTGGCTGGCTCCTATTAGATTTAGATTATGCATCCTTCAGTCTCGAGAGACTATGGTATCGTGCTCTGTATGGAGGTCTTGGAACAGCGTCTAGTGTGGCTGAGAAGGCCAATTCGAGAGTGACCATCCCTTCCACATTGAACACAAATACAATCTGTCCCCTGTCCAGCTCCCTGATTTTGCTGCTTTTGGGACTGCTTCTTTGCCTCGGCCTGCTGGACAAGGGTGTCTTCAAATTGGGAGAGGCCGTGATGCATTGCCTGCCTCCAGGCTGAACACTCAGATGTCAGGGTTTCCCATCTGTTGAGGTCCATTCCTAAGGCCTTCAGATCCCGCTTGCAGATATCCTTGTATTGCAGCTGTGGTCTCCCTCTGGGGCGCCTTCCCTGCACTAATTCTCCGTACAGGAAACCCTTTGGAATCCGACCATCAGCCATTCTCACGACGTGCCCAAGCCAACGTAGATGTCACTATTTCAGTAATGTAAAACTTCCAGCTCGTTCTAGGACTACTCTATTTGGGACTTTGTCCTGCCTGGCGATACCAAAAATGCATTGGAGACAACGCATATGGAACGTGTTCAGCTTCCTCTCCTGCCTCTCATCCGCTTTGTTTCTGTGTCTTTTCAAACAGGAAGAGCGTCAAAGCGACCTGGGTGGGAATGGATTGCCCCCCGCCCCCTCCAAACTGGACCGAAGTAAATCCGAGGACCTTCTCGGGACCACCAAGACGGCCCGTGAGTCCTACAGCTCATCTGACAACGTTGGGACAGATTTGGGCGCAATGCGTGGCCAGGCGGGAGATGATCCAGACAAGGGGGGCGTCGGACTGCAGATCATCAGCGAACATCTCCCCACTGCTAAGAAAGCTGCACTGAACGGAGGGGAGAGCCAGGATGCGTTGGAGGCTGATTCCAGGCCCAGTTCAGGTAAATGTCCCGTCATTTATTTAAAATACATATTTTACCCTGCCTTCCTCCATGAAAAGACCCAAGACAATACAGTGGACCCTCTACTTAAGGAATTAATCCGTATTGGAATGGTGGCTGCAAGTCGAAAAGTCTGTAGGTCGAATCTCCATTGACCTACAGTGCATTGAAAACCGATTAATCCCATAACCAGCGGTTTTTATTCTATTTTTGTTCCATTTTGGGTTTTTTCTGGTCTGTAAGTCGATTCTCCGGCTGCAAGTCGAATCTGAATTTTGCAGCCAGAGAAGTCTGTAACTCGAAAAGTCTGTAAGTCGAGCCGTCTGTAAGTCGAGGGTCCACTGCATTTGAAAGTTGAAAAACAGGAAGTATACAAATATTTAAAGGAATCGAACGAATGTGACACTGAAAACGGTAAACCAAATAAAAACCAACAGCACATTTGAAGCGGTCAAGCACAATCATCTCTTTGAAAAACCCCACTCCGGCAGCCAGTCCCATCAGGGAAGGAAGGCGTCCCCGGAGAGAAAGACCTTGGCCTGTTTGCAGAAGGAGAATCAAGATGGGGGGGCAGCCTGGCCTCCAGTGGCAGGGAGTTCCAGAGTCTGAGTGCAATGACGGAGAAGGCTCTTTCCTGTGTCCCCAACCAAGGGGAGAGAGAAAGGCCTCCGGGGAGGTTCATAAAGAGGGATACAGTTTTTGAGCTATCTTGGACCCAATCCGTAGAGGGCTTTCTAGGTTAGAACTGGCACTTTTGAGTTGTGCCTGGAAATGGATTAGCAATCAATGGAGCTGCTGTAACGGGGAGGATTATGTAGTCCCTGTTTGGGATGGAAATATTCCTATCCCTAGAATAAAAACGGCCGCTGCGGATCATCCTGCCATCCAAAAGGAGCGCAAAAGGGGTCTCTGATTAGGATAAAACACTGCAAGATAATCTAGAGGTACAGATGTGAAAATCACAATGGCTTTTGAAATTTAAGAATTACGCTACGCTATGCCCAGGTGGTTGCTGTCTGCCTGGGGATGAGAGGTGAATTTGTATGTTCCCCGTATCTCTTTTATTTTTTATTATCCCGTCAGATTTCAGTGGGGGGGCCTCTTCAAAGGGAGGACTGCCCCCCCATCCAGTGGGGCCATCCTGTCCCAAATGGGTTTGGGCTGAACCACATCCTCGCAGGATCCCCGAGGAGCCCTCATGCCATCTCGGGGTGGGTCGGGACAAATCTACCACTGCCCGATTTTTCAGCTTGGTGGGTGTTTGTATGAGAATTGGCCAGGAAAAAAAGGGGGGGGTCCACAGCCGGCTGGCGCTTGGCTTCCCCCTGTCTTTAGCAGCAGTAGATTTTTCCATCTCCATGTTGTCTCATAATTTTGCTCAATCCAGGCCTTTCTTTCTTTCTTTCTTTCTTTCTTTCTTTCTTTCTTTCTTTCTTTCTTTCTTTCTTTCTTTCTTTCTTTCTTTCTTTCTTTCTTTCTTTCTTTCTTTCTTCCTTCCTTCCTTCCTTCCTTCCTTCCTTCCTTCCTTCCTTCCTTCCTTTCTTTCTTTCTTTCTTTCTTTCTTTCTTTCTTTCTTTCTTTCTTTCTTTCTTTTCTTTCTTTTC